GAGGGCCGGGCCGCCGGCCTGCGGCCGAGCGAGCGCTGCCGAGGCGCTGGCCGTGGGCATTTCGGTGACTCCTTTCTCCTCCCTAGCGAGGAAGGAAGGAAGGAGAGAAGGAAGGAAGGAAGCGGAGAAGGAGGGGACTGTCTCGATGGAAGGTTCAGGCGGAGGCGCCCTCGCCTTGCGGGTGCACCGGTCGCACGGCGGCTCCGGCTGCCTCCGGCTGGAGCCGGACGCGTGGACACGGGTGGGGGCGGATTGCATGCCTGTTTGTGTGTGCTTCGGGTCGGGGATCGGGAAGGGACCTGTGTGTTTGGGCTGTGCACCGTGAGGAGCTGGGTCTGCGCCTTTATGTCTGTTCCCTGAAGTGGGTGGAACGTTGGCCCGTTCCGGGAATGTTCCATGACGTGGTGCAGCCACAGGAAGGGGGTTAACGAGGGGCTCTCTGCCGCGGCGGCTCTGCCGTGCTATCAGAGCAGATGTGCTGCCGCCGCTGCCGCACCTCTCACCTCCCTTCACCCCCACCCCCTGCCTTGCCATTCTGTGCGTCTAGTACTGCTAGGACTGAGCCAAGAAAACACAGCTCTCTCTCTCTCTCTCTCTCTCTCTCTCTCTCTCTCTCTCTCTCTGTGTGGTGAGGGGTAATGTGTGTGTGTGGTGTCTGTCGTGTTTGGTGGGTGGCTGGGGGGGACGACACCAGATCAGCCCTACCATCCCAGCTGTTATCACAGATCGGTGCGCTTTATACGCATGTGCCTCCCGCGTCCTGTCCCTCTTACATAACACATCCAGTGCAGCAGAGGACTGGAGAGAACGCGACCCCAACCCTTCAAGCTCACCCTGGGTGGGAGCTAGAAGGTCGGAAGGGGTCTCAGGATGCTGGCCTTCAAGGATGTGGCTCCTGGTGGGGAAGAGACAGAGGGGAAGGAGGGTTTCCTTCAGTGGCTCCTCACTCGCCAGCTTGAAAGCATCTAAGTGGAAAGGACTGCAGGAACTAGTCCACTCGAACCGGAGCGCTTTTGACATGCGTCGCCAAGGGAAAGTGGACGCTTTAACCTCCGGGCTGCAGGAAAGAGAGGGGTCTGTAATTCAGACGCGTGGAGGAGACCCGCAGTAATGTGTTTGGGCGGGGGGGGGGGCAGAGAGGGGCGGCTTGGAGACCAGAGGAATCTCTTGATAATAGGTTTCGCTGGAAGCCCCAGGACACCTGTAATGGCTTAGAATTCACACAGGAAGCTGTGTGTGCAACTGACATTGCAAAACCCTTATTCTCTACACAGTTATTTAGGCCTAAAATGAGCATAGAAAGGCTTGCTTCCGGTACTTTCATTATAATGGAAAATTTGAACTGATTTTTTTTCTTTCCTTTTCTGCCATTTTAAAAATAACTCGATTTATTTTAGAAACATCTTGCTACTTTCTCCCACTCCCAAAGCTAGACTTCAGTAATTCACAGGAGGACTGTTTTTTTCTAGTGAACTCAGAACCCTCCTCAAGGGCTATTGATTTTTCTCTTCAGCACAGTGTTTCTTTTTCAGTGGGTAATCAAGGCCAGAAATTACTTGAAATATTAATAAGATTCATTATAATTAAATTTGCAGGGCTCTGTCCTCCTAGAAGAAGGCCACTGAACTTTACTAGACGCATTTCCTCTAGTGATATGATAATATTTGGTGATATTTCTCCTTGAGAAAACCAAGG